TTTTTATGAAATTCACTGAGGAGGATGGTCCTCCCCTTCCTCCTCTGAGGAGCCTCCACTGCTCCATGGTACTGATTTCTGTGTGTGTGCGTGCGCAAGCAAGTAAAACTAAAAATGTTGACTGACCCACCCTACTTGTAGACTAGCTGAATGCCAATGGCTCTGTCATACAGTACACTTAAAAATGTTGTTGTCATAGGCTACCTAGCTAAAATGCTTGCTTGTCAGACTTCCTCGCATGGGCAACAATGAACCAGCTAAGTTAGCTAGCTAGCAAACGTTAATTAATGTGAGCCTAATTGGCTACATCTAGGCTACATATTGAACTTCAATCATCTCAGGCCAGTGGCACAACATATTAATTTATGGTTACATCAGAATCGGCATCATAATCTTTGGACTGTACAGAGAATTAAGTTAAAACCAGAAGACCAAATCCCCATCTCCATCCATGGCTTAGGAAAGGGACGATTTAGCAAGTTAGCTACTGCAAGACATCAACACAAGCAGACCAGAAACAGACACGTTTTTCTGAAAATGGCTAATTATTTTATGTTTTTTTTATCAAGAGAGGCCAAATGCTTGCTGGCATCAAACAATCAAATGCTACAGCGGCAACATGTTATACTGTTTTGGTCCAGACAGCATCAGATACATGGGCTAAACATACCGAGACAGAGGGGGGCCGTTTCCCTCGCTCTGAAGATTTCTCAGGTGAGATTCAGACAGACACTTGCGAATTCACGGAAATATTCTGAAAACACAGAGACATGAAAGAGAAATTATTTTATAATTGTAATTAATTTATTGGTCAAATATTTGTGGAAGCCTGGCTTCCCTTGGCATCCATGAATACATGCCACTGAATATAAGTAGTTTTGTTGTGATCACAAGAAAATCCTAACAATTCAACTAAAGAGCGCCACAGTCAGGCAGAAAAATCGGAATGTTCTATCAAAGTGAGAACAATTAGTTTCCCTGGCATATATGTCTTCTACTTAGAAATACTATAACAGTAAATTAATAGATGTCATTACCTTTGACAAATAAATCTCAGTGTGAAAAGGCGTCCCAATTCTCTGTTTTGTCAACGAACTCAATGTATTCCAAACACTGGTGGTAACCAGATGACCCCAATAATTTAGGTAGCCTAGTAAACCATGCCCCGCTTTGGTATGGTCTATTGCGAACTGTCTGGGACTCCTTGTTTCCCTGTTAACGACTACTCAAATATATTTTACTTATTAAATCAAAGACGAAATTAACTGCAATACACTGGTCTCAAACATATTAGCATAACTAGTCTACACAGAACCACGGCAGGCCCATTGTAAATTGAGAGGCGTTTTTGTATTAAAACGTGTCCCAGCGCAACATACCTAGCTCTGCCCACTGGGGGAGTGGCTTACGGAGCGCTCTTTAAAATTAACGCTCATATCGCCGTATTCCAACGGACCGAGTTATCTCACCACACTCAATCAATCAAATGTATTTATAAAGCCCTTTTTTGTCACAAAGTGCTATACAGAAACCCAGCCTAAAACCCCAAACAGCAAGCAATGCAGGGTGACCACACCGGCTCTTTTTAAAAAAAAATTATTTCACCTTTATTTAACCAGGTAAACCAGTTGAGAACAAGTTCTCATTTACAACTGCGACCTGGCCAAGATAAAGCAAAGCAGTGCGATAAAAACAACAACACAGAGTTACATATGGGGTAAAACAAAACAAAGTCAAAAATACAACAGAAATACATATATATACAGTGTGTGCAAATGTAGCAAGTTATGGAGGCAAGGCAATAAAATAGGCTATAGTGCATTAAAAAAAGGCTCTCCCCTGCTACTTAAACATTTTTAGTTGACATTTTTTGCTTCAGACCTGCGAGACCAAGTAGGTGGAATTTAGACCATCACTAGCTAGGTGTCCATCCAATTGGTGACATATTTTCACGCTAATATTCTAAAATCCATCAAATTGATTTGTTGCAGATAAAAGGCTGTGCACGTAGCGCACATAAAAATACATTTTGCGGTTAAACTCCCATGTACCGAATAAAAAATGGAAGTTAAATGGGTTTCCATCGCATTTTCAACTCTACTGGTCTCTACTTTCTCACAAAAAATGATAAAATCTGGAATTGGCAGGTGCGCTCTGACCACCAGCGCTATCTGCACGCTGTTGGCTAGAGCGCAAGTTAGCCTATGTGATGAGATTATTATTATTATGGACAAAAGACCGAGATTTATTTGTATTTGTAAAACGGCAGCCAAGCATCGATTATCATGTATCCAGAATAATACCTATGATATTTATTGGAAAGGAGCATCGAGTTCATCACCTTGCACTTTCACCACCCTGTGATGTTCATCATAATTTAAAATACACAAATGCGGGACAACAGGATGGTTTTGCGGGACAATGTAGCGAACATGAATAAAAACGTTTGAATAAAAAGGTACTGGAGAGCAATACAATTGTAAATGACATCATAATTTTTCTAATTTTGTACCGACTGATATTGAATATCATTATAGAATATGCATGAAATTGCAATGTCTGTCTATTGTCTCAATAACATTTTTAATTCCCTCAAATACCAAGTTAGGCATACTTCATTTCAAAATAGGCCATGGCATCATCACTGTCGATCGTGAATGATAATTCTTCACGTTTTGACAGTGAAATATTCAAACCGCGTCTGCATGCCAATCATTTGATCTCAATCAGATTCATGGGAATATGCATTTAGATCTTCTTGAGTTACTATATAGCCTTCCTGTATTTTGTTTCAATCAAAGCACATTCTGCCTAGTGGCGCGCGCTGGTGAGTTTTGGCCGCAAATACTTTTTGGGGACTATTCAGCTAACCCTCCTAAAATCTCATGAGAAATGAGGAGGTGTTTTGGAGTAACAGTAACTATTGTATTTCATTCTGTTATGTAGAATACTCATGAATCATTATGATCTCCCAAGACATTGATTCAGCTTTTATCTAACTTTACGAATGAGCACCATTGTAAGAAGTGGCTGAGCGACGCTCGGGTGTGCTCTGGCGACACTACACCCCTGCAGTCCGCTGCACCCAACGAGCACACAATTTGGTGATGTAGAAACGAGAGACCACGCGTGGCTGTTTTATGAAAATCTGGGAATATTTGTCCCAAGGAAACATTTCTGGTTGGTTTTAGGATGGGAGACTTTTAAAACGGGATTGAGTGAAGTAGCATAAAATATGTTGAATTAGCAACTAATGAGCATGGAGAGCCTCACAAATTTGACTAAATTATAATATGGCTATTTAATAAATTTTGTAACTCTTCATCAGAAGCATGCTTTTTGTAAGTAGTTATCAGTAGTTATCAGTAGTTATCTAACTGTCCTCTCCAAGTTTAGCTGGAATTGAGCCCGAAAGGATTTGAGAAATATTGGTTGACGATAGGCCTATGACATTGGCCTACGTCTCGTCTTGCGCTGCGAAGAGTATCAGTTCTCAACAACGATTGGAGAAGTGTTTAACATCACCATGGCTTAGGCTACCACATCCTTATGATAGCCTATATATATTTTCATAAACTCAAAGTGACTGCAAGAGACAGGTTGCAATGTCTGACTGACATATGGGATAAATCTGCCTTTTTTCCCTAAATTGGTGGTGTTTGAATTTGTTGAAAAAATGCGGGACAGGATTGTTTGGTTGCTGGACACCGGACAAAGGGACAAAATGCGGGACTGTCCCGCACAATCCTGGACATGTGGTCACCCTACACACAACATGTCATCGCGTGACTCCAAGTTTACTTATATGATGGTTATTATATCAGTATTTGCGCATAAGAGCGTTTCCACCGACATTTCTCGCATAATTAATTTTACCGACACAAAAAGATCCCACCTTGTCTAGCATATTTTGTTTGTTCGACATTTGGAAAGTTTACCGAAACATTTTCTGTTTCCATCAGGCCTGTCATTTATTTTTATTTTTAAATCAGACATACTTTACTGGCATAAACAGGTTGGAAGGAAACCTGGTTACTGTTATTGATCAATTCATTAAGTTAGGGAGATGGGTATGGTGCATGGTTGGAATGTTTCAGTTTCCCCCCAATTTTGTCATACTGTAAACTTACGGTGGCTGTGATAAAGATGGACATCCCATGGAAATTCAGTAATGCCTTGACACACACCGAGAACCTATGTAGGCAATACATTGGAACAAAACTTCTCGGTACAGAACTTGTCAACAGGAAGCTAGCTTGTTTTGAACTGAGGCCTCGTGGTTACAATAGCTATTTCTGATAAGAACTGTACTGCTCATTGTTTATCCAAAAGAGGAACTAAGTAAACAAACGCATCTCAATGGACAAATGAGTGTTCCCACATGCATATACTATTAGAGCTAGACTGGGTACCAGTCTGTTTGTGTTAATATTCCACTCTTGTACTTCGTGTCATATGACAAACATAAGGGGTGGAATGTTAGCACAAAACAATTCTGGATTTCAGACTAACAGAGACCATTGTGTTCCAGATAATAACTGAGCATTGCCCACATCTGTTCATGCAAAAATTATGTAAAGTAGGCAATCTATTAAAAAAATTGTGTTGAAACCCCCATAGTTTCTTTCTAGAGTGGTAAGTGAAGTTTGTCATGTGCAGGAGGGGGAATTTGTGGGGTGTTTTTCTCGTCACCATTGCCTGGAACTACTACAGCTAAAGGAACTGCTAGAGGTGATAAATACTAGAGGGTTTAATTAAATAGCACTTTGACAGAAGCCAGGAAGTCAGACTTTTAATCTCAAACATAATGGAAATTCTGGGTTCTCTACTAATCCTTTGGCTGGGTACCATCACAGGTACTGAACTCTACTCTATGATTTTTGAATAATATTAATTGTGTTATGTGGAGGTATTAAGTACAGTATATGCCATTATTGGTCTACAAAATAAATAAATAAAAAACTTTCAAAAATGTGAACCTGCTGTTCCTTTGTCTTTAGGGACAAGGGCAGATGTCCATCCAATAGACAAATATGGGTTGAAGGGCAGTGCTGTGTGTTTGGCAGTTAGAGAAAACCCTCAGCAAGAGATGAAAATGAAATGGATGATTGATGGTAATGTAATAGCTGTGAGTGAAGAAGTTTCTCCTCAATACAAGGAGAGGGTAGATTATAACTCCACAGACTACACTCTTTGTCTCAGGAAACTGGAACAAACAGATGCTGGAATCTACATTGCATATAAGGTTGAGAAATGGAAGGAGACACAAATGGTCAAATACAATTTGATGGTCCAAGGTAAGTTTTGTACAGGCTTCTTACATTCCACTCATTAGCTACGTTTCCATAAACTTGTCCAGTTATTTTTTTGTCAACATTTAGAAAGCATATCAAATAAATGCAACAATTGCCTTCTATCAGTGGTGTAAAGTACTTAAGTAAAAATAATTTAAAGTACTACTTAAGTTGTTTTCTGGGGTATCTGTACTTTACTTTACTATTTATATTTTTGACAACTTTTACTTTGACTTCACTACATTCCTAAATAAAATAATGTACTTTTTACTCCATACATTTTCCCTGACACCCAAAAGTACACGTTACATTTTGAATGCTTAGCATGAAAGGAAAATGGTCCAATTCACTCACTTATCAAGAGAACGTCCCTGGTCATCCCTACTGCCTCTGATCTGACTCACTAAACACACATGCTTCATTTGTCTCCCGAGTGGCGCAGTGGTCTAAGGCATGCAGTGCTAGCTGTGCCACTAGAGATCCTGGTTTGAATCCAGGCGCTGTAGTAGCTGACAGGGAGACCCATGGGGCGGCGCACAATTGGCCCAGCGTTGTCCAGGGTAGGGGAGGGAATGGCTGGCAGGGATGTAGAGCATGGCGTTTGTAACGACAGGGTTGTGGGTTCGATTCCCACGGGGGGCCAGTATTTAAAAAATAATGTACGCACTCACTAACTGTAAGTCGCTCTGGAGAAGAGCGTCTGCTAAATGACTGTAATGTAAATGTTTGTAAATTATGTCTGAGTGTTGAGTTAAAATGGCTAAAATGGTGCTGTCTGGTTTGCTTAATATAAGGAATTCTGAATAATTTATACTTTTACTTTTGTACTTAAGTATATTTGAGCAATTACATTTAATTTTGATACTTAAGTATATTTAAAACCAAATACTTTTAGACTTTTACTCAAGTAGGATTTTACTGGGTGACTTTCACTTTAACTTTAGTAATTTTCTATGAGTACAAGTAAAATTACCTTCAAGTATGACAATTGGGTACTTTTTACACCACTGCCTGCTACGGTGCATTTTCATTGAACTGTCGATGAAAACAGCTGGACATAATGACATCACACCTGAACAAATATAAATTATTCGCAAAAAACCTAGTGTGGAATAAAAATTAAATGGTTGAAGTGTTTCCATTATCCATTTAGGCAAATTGCGCATTAATAAATTGGCGACAGCCTGTTTGCCCTCCCACCTATCTGTTTCATGTCTCAGGTAGCCCGCAAAAACCAGCATGGATAGAATGCAAGAAATGACTCATATTTACCATATTCTAATAATTATCATGTGCCAACGTTTCTCCACGGTCCATGCCATGGTGAAACTTACACTCCTGTAGATCTGAAATAATTGAATGGTTAAACTTGCATCCAGCTAACCAGGAAGGCAAGATGAAGCAATTCAGGCATTCTTCAAAAGTCAAGTCCTGCAAAGAAACATTATTTTTATAGTTGAAAAATAGATTTAGCAAGCAGTAGGCATTTAGAATTAAAGTGGAGTGGAACTTTAAAGTTATGTGATGACATCACTTGCCCGCTTACCTTCAAAATTATTTGGCAATCATACTTTATTCGAAAAACACAGTTTCAATCATCATTTGTTGCAATAAAGAAAGTTAGAAAAAAGAAAAATCCATCCCTTTCAGAAGGATACAAATATTGTCAATCTTTAGAACATTTATCCTATAGATGCCTTTCCATTACACATGTGGCAATCAGGGGCGGCCTGTTCAATAGGGCGATATGGGCGACGCACTGCCAAACGGGAAAAGGAAGGGATTTTTTTTCTAATCAATTATATCACGGCAACAGTAGTTATCAGTGTTGTAATCTAGACGTCTGATCTGCCACAGTGCCACACTGCCACTAAATGTCGAATCAGGCTAAAGTCGTGCTTCAAATGGCCACCCCCCCTTTTGGGGCGATTTCAGTCAGGTTGAAAATCGCCCAGAAGTCTGTCATAGACTCCCATGTAAAATCTATTTTTTTCAAATTTCAGAGCTTTCAATACAATCTCTATGGGTGTCTGAGGGCTTGCACTTACGCGCTTTCGTCATACTTAACGTAACCATGAACGTAACTAAGAAAATAGCGGGTAGCAGCGTCTCTGTTGCGACCTGCAGTGTGTGTGACGTTATCTTATGTTTTTAATCTTATGTTTTTAATTTGTACACTTAGTGGCGTTATTTTATGTTTTTAATTTGTACACTTAGTTTACAAACATTCTGCCAACCATGGATTTCCAGTGGTGGGGTCACGGTGTTGGACTGATCTTGTTGATCGTGTACATACCCGCTACGAACGGACTAAATAATGAAAACGCTGCTGGCAGCGGAATCCAATACAGCAGGGAGTTTTTACTACAATGCAACTCAAATACGAACGCGATGGATATCCCAATGGCCCATCTAATACCTGATTGTCTGCGAGTGGATTACAAACCCAAATGCAAACGTGGAAAACGCGGGGGAATCAGACAACGACTTAAAAAAAATTAAGAACAAACTTCCCTTACCCACCACCTTGCTGATTAATGCCTAGTCACTGAGGGGGAAAGCGGATGAGTTGTCAGCGAATCTGCGCTTCCAACACGAATATCGGGAGGCCTGTTTGCTGGCATTTACTGAGACTTGGCTGGATGACAGAGTCCCGGACAGAGAAGTGGAGCCGGCCGGCTTCACCCTGGTCAGAGCGGACCGCGATCTGACAGTCACAGGGAAACTTCACGGCGGGGGCGTCTGTCAGGGACCAGTGGTGTAAATCGATCCTGGTAAGAGAGCGACTCTGTACCCCCGACATTGAACTACTTTCTGTGTCACTGCGACCTTACTATCTGCCCCGTGAGTTCCCCCAATTGTTTGTTACCGTTGTGTACATTCAACCAAAAGCTAATATAACAAAGGCATCAGAGATTATTTATAATCTGTCACAGAAACTGGAATCCATCTCCCCCGACGCACCCAAATTTATTTTAGGGGATTTTAACAACTGTACCTTGCACAAAGTCTTGCGCACATACCATCAGTATGTGAAATGTCACACTAGGAAAAATAGGACTCTTGATTTGTGCTATGGGACAATACCAAAGGCGTTCTCTGCCACCACCAGACCTCCTCTGGGGACATCAGACCACAATGGGGTCTACCTCAGGCCAATTTACTGTCGCCTCCTGGAGAGGGAGAAACCCACAGTTAAAACTGTCCAGATCTGGAATGACAACAGTATCACTTGGGGTGTTTTGACTGTACAGTGTGGGAGGTATTTGAGGACAGCAGCTCTGATCTGGATGAACTCACAGAGGTTATTTCAGACTATGTAAACTTCTGTGTTGAGTCAGTTGTGCCTACTAAGACCTGTAAAATCTTCCCTAACAACAAGCCTTGGGTATCAAAACATCTAAAATCACTACTTGATAGGAAGAAGGCAGTTTATGCTGGGGCTGATAGACAGGCTTTAAGAGATGTACAACGTGAGATAAAAAGACAGATACTGGTGGACAAGTTTTGCGGAGTGTTTGAGTTAGCTTTGCGAGGCAAAGATGAAACTGAGGGCTCCACCAACCCTGGTAAGCCAACACTTTTGAGATCAGTCAATAAATGCTTCTGGTATTGACTTATATGCTGCCCCTGTCTTCATGTTGTTGCTGGACATATCTTTTTTTAAATGTGTGTAGGTCACCTAAATCATCAGAAAAATTGCCCCCCCTGAGAATTTTTTCAGGAGCCGCCACTGGTGGCAATGCTTTTTTTTAACGATATTGCTTTTGTCGCATAAACCTGAATCAATGCAAACCTGCCTAGTGTCACCTGCTTGGTTTGATGGATGTCATCTTTTAGAGCTCCATGTCCTTTTCTGGACATCTGGACATATTTTGTAAACTTTGATATTATCACTTATTTTAGAAGCTGTTTCCAGACCAGTCATGGAGGTGGTGTCTCTCTACTCCAACTATACTGCTGGACTCTGTGATGTCACAGTGAACTGTTCAGTTACAGGTGTGTGGGTGTTGTCTGTCTGTGATGGAGGTCAGTGCACACTGTCACAGCAGTCTCTGTCACACACCAGAGTCAACATCATCATCTCCAATGACAACGGGACTATCCAGTGCACCGGCAGAAATCACTTCAGTGCAGAGACCAACTCACTTCGCATGGAGAACATATGTAAGTCTAATTTACTAGCTTCCACCTTCTGTGCATACCATTGTAATTTTTTAAATCAATAACATTTTAATATCGTTGCTGTTATTATAATTATATTCTAATTAAATAATTTTCCATAAAAAAAAACGGAATAACAATACGTGTGTGTGTGTGTGTGTTACCTCTCAGGTATTGGTGAGAAGAAGGGGAGAGCTTCAACATTACCAGTTGTGACCATTGTGGGCAGTGTTACTGGTGGACTATTCTTTGTTGGTGTGTTAGTTGGTGTAGGATGCCTCATATCAACCAGAAGACGGCAATCCCCTAAAGAGCAACAGTCTATGCAGGTAACCTCTCTGTCAATCATGTTTAACCTCCTAAAGTCGATTTGTCTGTGCCCCCATCAAAATTCGTCTGTTTAAGGTATTTGGTGGCAGAGCTACAGCGATGTTTGTCAGAGCAGGAGACATTCCAAAAATGTGTCTTCTCACGAAAACATCCGAAGTGTCCGAACGGTTTGGGCTACACACTACTATGACCCCTCTGGAAAGATCAGACTATCAAGAACACGATGGTGTTCTCCGTTTTGCTCTAAGACCCTCACAAGCCTCATCTGAAGGTAACCCAGTACCGGTTTAAAAAATGATTGGAAGTATGGAAGGAGTTTTGTGCCCCCAAAAATCGGAGCTTTCTTATATCTCTCAGATATTGGACGGACACTTCAAAACATACTTCCTATTGATTTTTTTTTTTTACTATCTGTTTTGCCATGTATGAATGTTTTATTCAATGCGTTTCTGAGGGCTAATAGCAGTAAGGCCAAATTTAATCTTTCATCAAATATTATTTTTATATACTTTCTTGATACCTACAGGGGTCCTAAAATTCTAAATGAAATTGCTAAATGATCCATGGTATGACCATCTTAAAACAATTCCATGTTAGCTGAGTAGACTTGTGAGAATACTACAGACTTTGGGGCGCAGCAGAAAGATCAGCATATCCCAAAACCAGAGATTGTGAGTTCAAATCCCAGATGGGGTCACATTGGAAAGTATTAAGTGATCATGTCAAATTTCACTGACCTGTTAAACTTTGAGCATTTGTTTTGGGCCCTGTACAGATTCTTTTGGGAAAGCTACAGTCCTCGTCTTTTTGGTAGTTGAACTCAAATCTTACTGCCGAGGTCTTATCTTCTTGGTCTTCCTGTTATACCAGGTGCTGTAGATGTCCTGAATGGCAGGCAGTGGGCCCCCGGTGATGCGTTTGGCTGACTGCACCACCCTCTGGAGAGCCCTGTGGTTACGGGTGGTGCAGTTGCCGTACCAGGAGGTGATACAGCCCTACAGAATGCTTGCGATGGTGCATCTGTAGAAGTTTGTGAGGGTCTTAGGGGCGATGTTGAATTTGTTCAGGCGCCTGAGGTTGATGAGGTGCTGTTGCGTCTTCTTCACCACGCTGTCGGTGTGGACGGACCATTTCAGGTCGCCAGTGATGTGCACGCTGATAAACTTGAAGCTTAGACCCTCTCCACTGCGGCCCTGTCGATGTTGATGCTGCTCTCTCTGCTGTCTCCTGTAGTCCACGTTCAGCTCCTTTGTTTTATTGACATTGAGGTGGAGGTTATATTCCTGACACCACTCCGCCAGGGCTTTCACCTCTTCCCTGTAGGCTGTCTCGTCGTTGTTGGTAATCAGGCCTACCACTGTTGTGTCATCAGCAAACTTGATGATTGAGTTGGAGACGTGCGTAGCCACGCAGTCATGGGTGAACAGGGAGTACAGGAGGGGGCTGAGCGCGCACCCCTGTGGGGCCCCGTGATGAGGATCAGCGTGGCAGAGGTGTTGTTGCCTACCTTCACCACTTGGGGTCGGACCCTCTGGAAGTATAGGACACAGTTGCACAGGGAGGGGTTCAGGCCCAGGGCCCTGAGCTTAGTGATGAGCTTGGAGGGCACTATGGTGTTGAATGCTGAGCTGTAGTCGATCAACAGCATTCTCACATAGGTTTTCCTCTTGTCCAGGTGGGATAGGGCAGTGTGCAGTGCTATGGCAATTGCGTCGTCCGTGGATCTGTTGGGTTGGTATGCAACAGACTAGGATAAGGAGAGATTGAATATGTCCGTAAACACTCCAGCCAGCTGGTCTGCATATGCTCTGAGGACGCGGCTTGGGATGCCGTCTGAGCTGGCAGCCTTGCGAGTGTCTTACTCACGTCGGCCACAGAGATCGGGAGCACACAATTCTGTTGAGCGGTGGGGGCCCACATCAGCGACTCTGTGTTGTTTCTCACATTTCTCATCTCCTAACAGGCTGTTATTACAGAAGTTGACAACCCAGTGGCTGCTATGCCAGGAAGACCAGAACCACAGAACACCCCTGGTTCTGAGGTGACATCTATCTACGTCACTGCAGGGAGACCAGGAGCAGTACCAGCAGCAGCAGCAGCAATAGAAGAACACCACCCAGTGGACAACGGGTACACTTCACCAGAAGAAAATATAGAACCACATTCCCCCCCACAGGCAGACGCACTCTACAGCACTGTGCAGCAACGAGCGGTAGAAGAGTACCACCGAGTTGACAAAGTGGGCTGTCCAAAACAAGAGAGGCCAGCACCACATAGCCCTTCTGAGGCAGAGCCTACATCAATCTACTCCACATTACAGGAGCCAGCTTTAGCACAGTGCCACCCAGTGGACAAAGATGGGAATAACGTCAACAAACCAGACACAGTGTACTGCACAACAGGAGATCAACTACCCCACTAAACTACCCTCCATCCCTCTCAGAGACCCCCTATTAAACTACCCTCCATCCCTCTCAGAGACCCATTACTAAACTACCCTCCATCCCTCTCAGAGACCCCCCACTAAACTACCCTCCATCCCTCTCAGAGACCCCCTATTAAACTACCCTCCATCCCTCTCAGAGACCCCCTACTAAACTACCCTCCATCCCTCTCAGAGACCTCCTACTAAACTACCCTCCATCCCTCTCAGAGACCTCCTACTAAACTACCCTCCATCCCTCTCAGAGACCCCTACTAAACTACCCTCCATCCCTCTCAGAGACCCACTACTAAACTACCCTCCATCCCTCTCAGAGACCCCTACTAAACTACCCTCCATCCCTCTCAGAGACCCCCTACTAAACTACCCTCCATCCCTCTCAGAGACCCCCTACTAAACTACCCTCCATCCCTCTCAGAGACCCCCTACTAAACTACCCTCCATCCCTCTCAGAGACCCCCTACTAAACTACCCTCCATCCCTCTCAGAGACCCCCTACTAAACTACCCTCCATCCCTCTCAGAGACCCCCTACTAAACTACCCTCCATCCCTCTCAGAGACCCCCTACTAAACTACCCTCCATCCCTCTCAGAGACCCCTACTAAACTACCCTCCATCCCTCTCAGAGACCTCCTACTAAACTACCCTCCATCCCTCTCAGAGACCCCCTACTAAACTACCCTCCATCCCTCAGAGACCTCCTACTAAACTACCCCTCCATCCCTCTCAGAGACCCCCTACTAAACTACCCCTCCATCCCTCTCAGAGACCCCTGATATTACATTGACTAAGACTTGACCCATAGACTTAGAAACCAAAGAAGAAACACAGGGGAAGTTACAAAGAAGAGAGAATTTAGAGAATGTATTGTTTATGTCTAATGTCATCCTTATTTAAAGTGTCAATCTGCGATTGCTACATCAATTTTGGGGACTTTTTAATTAGATATATATAATTATTGATTCTTGATTAATATATATTCTGCTTGTTTAAACTCCATTGTTTGTAAACAATGTAATTCTAAACAGACACTGTATAGCTTCAAAACATAGTTAAAACTATAATTTTGATATCACAAATGGTCAGTCCTTACATCCGTAGCCTCGTCTATAAATTTAAGAGTGGTTACACTTCTCCAGCCCAATCCCTAAGCTGTTAACTAAAAAAATGTGGCGGCATTCTTAGTATTTGAACTGCAGGTTTCCCCTTTAATGATAAGTCGTTTTGCATACCGTGTTGTTTTCTGTAAATGAAAATGATAAAATGATAAAACATGCATATTAATACAGTAGCACAGTACATGCTTTAAAATAAATGTTATATACAAAACAGTTTAATTGAAAATGGGAAGCCCATTCAATCAACCGATCAATCAATCGACCAATCAATAATTCAATTAATGAACCAATCATTCAAGCAATAAATAAATCAAGCAATCAACAGTCAATCAACCAACCAACCGAGTATGTAATTATTTTTCTAATACATACTATATGTCTAATTATTAATATTTTGAGAAATCATATTTACAAATATAACTATAAAAAGGTATCCATCTATCCATTTCAGTAACTGTCACATCCAGCTGGTTATGGGGAGGATATACAGAGGTATGGCAGTCAATTATGGCTAAAAGCAGAACAATTTGAAATATCGGAGTGGCTGCAGTTCTGGATTTTTTGGAAACCCGATTTGCCGTGTCTAAAGATTTCTGTGGATGTGCAGATTTGTATTTATTTAGCTGCTGCCCACTCCACTACCTACGTAGCTGCTCCACTGCCGCTTCCCCTCCTTGATTGGCGATGATCATCTTTGTCTGGTGTAGCCATAGAGATAGATAGAGAATTCTAGTGCCCAAAAGCCTATTTTAGCATGGTCAATGCCATTGAGGGCTTTCACCATTTCACCAAGTCAACTGGGTGGGACTTCTATGGGTTAAAACAGACAGAACGTTGTAACCGTCATAATGGCCTTGAATATGTATTCAAATTACCACATATTTATTTATTTATTTCAGCTGTTCAGGAATATGAGGCATAGGCTACATCATCATGGTTCAGAAGAGGGTGAGTAAAAATGTGTGCGTAAAATAACACATTCGCAAAACGTCATCTGGATCCGTAGCTTTGAGAAAGAGGTTTTTAAAAACCTTTGTATTCGCAGCAACAGTCCTCAAATATAGCTGGTAGGCTACTCTGCGTTAACATCCAAATGATACATAATGGGTCCGTTTTCCTGGACACAGATTAAGCCTTTTCCTGGACTATAAACTACTTTAAATAGAGAATCTCCATTGAATATTCTTCTTAGTTCAGGAGGTTTTATCTTTGTCTGGCCCTATATATTGTACTACCTTGTACTTTGTGCTGGTTACTCATTCAATAAACTACCTTTTGCAATACTATGGAATGGCTGCAAGGCTTTCACAGACTGAATGACTCTCACAGATTCTCTTAGATGGTTCGGCACATGCAAAGTCAAACCAACAAGTGTTGACTAATTCGGACACAGTTTTCCATTTTTCCATTAGGCCCACGGTTAATGGAAACAGAAACCATTACTCCATACAGTATGTCCCAGAAGAAGGAAATATTTTCTGCCAAATATATTGACACCGTTGCACTTTTCTTAAGTGTGGTTCTTAAAAGGTCAAGGTTGACTGTTTTACCCAGACATGGTTTACGAGGACATAATCACAGAACCATGGTACTGTTACTGTTTTTAACACAGAAAGGTACTCTGTCTGCAGGACATAAGAGTGGAAATACTGGGAAAAAAACATGTTATTTTTCTTGAAGGATTTTGATTAAATATATAATTGTATGTATATAGTGCATTTGGAAAGTATTCAGACCCCTTGAATTTTTCCACATTTTGTTACGTTACAGCCTTATTCTCAAATTGCAATTTTTTTTTTTTTGCATAAATCTACACACAATACCCCATAATGACAAAGCAGTACTTTGTTGAAGCACCATTGGCAGCGATTATAGCCCCGAGTCTTCTTCGGTGTGACACTACAAGCTTGGCACACCTGTATTCGGGGAGTTTCTCCCATTCTTCTCTGCAGATCCTCTCAAGCTCTGTCAGGTTGGATGGGGAGCATCGCTGCACAGCTATTTACAGGTATCTCCAGAGATGTTCGATCGGGTTCAAGTCCAAGCTCTGGCTGGGCCACTCAAGGACATTCAGAGACTTTTCCCGAAGCCACTCCTGCGTTGTCTTGGCTGTGTGCTTAGGGTCGTTGTCCTGTTGGAAGGTGAACCTTCGCCCCAGTCTGAGGTTCTGGGCGCTCTGGAGCAGGTTTTCATCAAGGATCTCTCTGTACTTTGCTCCGTTCATCTTTCCCTCGATCCTGACTAGTCTCCCAGTCACTGCCGCTGAAAAACATTCCCACAGCATGATGCTGCCACCACCATGCTTCACCGTAGAGATGGTGCAATGTTTCCTCCAGACGTGACGCTTGGCCAAAGAGTTCAATCTTGGTTTCATCAGACCAGATAATCTTGTTTCTCGTGGTCTGAGTCCTTTAGGTGCCTTTTGGCAAACTCCAAGCGGGCGGTCATGTGCCTTTTACTGAGGAGTGGCTTCCATCTGGCCACTCTAACATAAAGGCCTGATTGGTGGAGTGCTGCAGAGATGGTTGTCCTTCTGGAAGGTTATCCCATCTCCACAGAGGAACTCTGGAGCTCTGTCAGGGTGACCATGGGGTTCTTGGTCACCTCCCTGACCAAAGCCCTTCTCCCCCGATTGCTCGGTTTGGCCGTGCTGCCAGCTCTAGGAAGAGTCTTGGTGGTTCCAAACTTCTTCCATTTAAGAAGGATGGAGGCCACTGTGTTCTTGGGGACCTTCAATGCTGCAGACATTTTTTGGTACCCTTCACTAGATCTGTGCCTCATCACAATCCTGTCTCGGAGCTCTACGGACAATTCCTTTGACCTCATGGCTTGGTTTTTGCTCTGACATGCATTGTCAACTGTGGGACCTTATATAGACAGGTTTGTGCCTTTCCAAATTATGTCCAATCAATTGAAGTTACCACAGGTGCTCCAATCAAGTTGTAGAAACATCTCAAGGATGATCAATGGAAACAGATGCAACTGAGCTCAATTTTGAGTCTCATAGCAAAGGGTCTGAATACTTACCTTATTTACATATCAGTTTTTTTATTTTTAATAAATGTGCAAAATATTCTACAAACCTATTTTTGCTTTGTCATTATGGGGTATTGTGTGTAGATTGATGAGGGAAAAAAATACTTTAATCCATTTCAGAATAAGGCTGTAACGTAACAACATTTGGAAAAAGTCAAGGGGTCTGAATACGTAGTATATTTCTAACTGAACGTTTGTAAACATTGCGTCCTGCTGATCGCGCCCCATGTCTGTGATAGTTTATAATGTGTTGGCTAGGTCAGGACACATCTCTAATACTGGAACCTCATCATGCTAACATACTATGAAGTGTCTGTTTTAATAAATGTAAAGATTTACAACAGCTCTGTTTTGGTCCATCTCTATCAAATGAAGTCCCTACAAAACTGCACAATTCTAAGAAAGCCCACACATCTCTGTCGAAGCCCCACGTCCATGAAGGAAGCTTGCAGGGGTTTACACATTTTTTATATTTTTATATTGGAAAGATCTTATTTTAAATTAAGCATCTATGAGTCAATGGCAGCCAGGAAAAAATGTTATTATATGAAATGTGGGTCTGATAAAGGTGTTTCTTGCCATGGAAATACAGTGATTCAGATGCAGAGCACCTACACACCTGAGAACTTGAAACAGCTCTTCTCAGCACAGAACTCAGTCAACAGGAAGAGGTTTTCAGTTTCTTGTCACGGTCACTCACACCTTAAAATGGAACTACACCCCCCCCACCCTAACCATAGATGTTAACATCTCATGTAAACGTCTTGTTAACTATTTAGACAGCT